CCTTCAGGAATACTCTGAAGACCTGATGCCTTGTGATCTTGATTTTCCACCCACCTCACTGTGTGTTCCTCCTCCGTCTTTACAGGGCCGCCTTTGTCTTCCCTTCGACTCCGAAGTGCCTCTGGGAAAAGACTACAAATTTCCTCTCTCCCTAACTACCACCATCCATCCTTGCAATGTAGTGTTTTCCCTAATGACTTCCAGATTCTTAACTCTGACTCATACCGATGCCTAAACTGAACTGAACAGCAGCCGCTACTGTTTATCTTCTCAACATCTCCACTTAGACACCCAGCAAGCAATTTCAGAGCCACCATACTCAAAAACCTATGACTGGACACCGCTTCCTCCCTTTCTCTGTTGCAGTTAAGAAATAGGATGCCATTCTTCTTGCTCACTACATTTCAGATTCTACCTCAGCCCTTTCACCCACACCATCCTTATATAAACAATTAGACTCACTTGCCAGTCCTTTACAGTATTTTCCTAACTGCCCTCTTTACTTCTATTCTGGCATTTTCAACAAGCCATTGTTTGCACTATCACACATGAGAGTGATAATTTTAAACCAAATGAATGTGATCTTTGCATGAAATTCCCCAGCACTTTCCTAACTAAGAGGGAAGTTCAGGTCACACTTGGCACACAATTTTGCATTTTCCCTGGACTACCCTCCACAGCCCACAGTCCGTAGTGACACACTGGTATAGTAGCTCTGACTTCCCCGTTGCTCTTTGTGTGCACAGGATGCCCTAGGAGTACACATCACAGACATAAAACACATTCAAAGACATTTATGTAGAAAAAATCATGACCTTTCATTTTATGATACAGCTGAGTGTAAGGCGCTTATTTATGAATGAAGAGCTAATTGTTATATTATTCAAATTACCATGCTTCCCTTGACTAATAACAAGAGTTTAAGTTTGTTTTTGTTTTTTTTTTTTAATTCTGAAAAATTTATTAAAATGAGCGCTGCTCCTCCTAACTAGCCTTTTCCACTTTGGAGAGATTTTTCAAGCAGGAAACAAAATATGGAAATGAACCAAAGTCTAAGGACCATTATTGCAGCATAATTGCATGCATGACTGTATAAATAATGGATGCTATTGTAAATATTCTGCTTCTTAATAAACACTATTAATTCCATTTGAATACATGATGCATCTTAACAAGATTCAAATTTTTCCTGATTTAATGTAATTTAAGCATCAATGAATAAGTCTTTTTTTCTTCATTGTTAAAAGAGTGTTTTATGAATTATTTTTCTGTTCCTTTTGCTTTTACCATGTCATTTAGGAAAAATATTAAACAGAAGGAGTAACTCAAAATTCCTTGGATGTTGTAGAATTATACAAGCTAAAATATGTTCAATATATGCTCCTCCTCTAAATTCTGTGTCTTCCCTTTCACTGTGTGCCTGCCAGAGGCTGCACAAGATTGGTGGATATATCCATCCCAAACTAAAACTGAAAAGCATGTAAATGCGAGTCTTTAGTTTTGCTTGTAAAAAGAATATATTACTTAATGGAAGCATGTCGGAAGCAATACGAGTAAGCAATAAATCTCAGATTAATTATACATATGCAATGAGGTGTGGAGCTGATATACAATGCATTGAACTGTTTTTCCGAGGCATGATAATTATATGCTTTTCAGTACTCAACAGTAAATCTCAAGCCTTTGTATGGAAGGGCATGGTTTTCCTTTTATTAGCCAATGTGAAATGATTCTGTTCTATGGTAAGCCTATTAGATCTCTGTCCTTGACTGTCTTATTTATTTATTTATTTTTCCAAAGATTTGTTTTATGTTTCTGCTTTACAATCAGCAGTATACCTCAAATGTTGAAAGATTTGAAACTGCTGAAAAACAAATCTGTGAATTCACAATTATATTGAGAATGATGCAGGAAATGTCATTTTAAGTGGCAAAATCGATGTGTATTTTGATTCATTAGGAAATTACATAATGGCTATTTCTCACATCTCTTCAGACTCTGTTTAACCAGTGTGCATTGTGATGCCTGGCCTGGAGCTCTTCTATATTTAGTTCTAATGGAGCACTCTTAAATTGCTTATTTTGTGTTTACTAAAGTCAGCCTGTTTGTTACCATGGAAACTTCGACAAGTGCTCTAGCTAACTATTTTATTAGATGAATTGAAGATACAGCTGAAGACTGGAGGTGCAGCATATCATTCTTAAAGCTTTTTTTTTTTTTTGCATCTGTAATGTATGGGCTCCTTTATATAAAATTTGAAATTATATGAAAGTCTATTCCATTTCAAATTTGAGAGGATTCCAGTATTTGGAAATCTAAATTATAATTAACACATTGGTATCTCTAAGATACAAAGAGTATTGCTCTAAAGGGGTCTTTGTGACTCAGTTCTATAGAAATTAGAAGCCACTGGCTTCTAATGTGGAGAAGCTATTTACACATGGTAAACAGCTGTCCTGTCTCATGCACCAAAGCCCTCTGTCCATCATTTATGGCAGCGAGAACAGCTTCTGTTCCAAGCTGGTTGCATGTGACATGATGCAGGGCTCTAAAGGTAGAAAGGAGCTTTATTCACTGCTTGTTTGGCTCTCAATATAATTTATATATGATGCTGCTTTGGAGTGACAGCATCTTGTGGTTCTTGTCGATGCTGGGCTCTTGGTTCAAACTTTCTGCTATCACTCCATGCCTTCATTCCTAGTTTCCATTTTCTCACATTCACCCAAAATCTCTTATCAACCTAACCTTCATATAGTCCTTCCTATTTTGACACTCCGAAAGAATTCTCAAGATATAATAATAGAATATAATCCCATATAATCTTTAAAAATGAAAAAAAATCATAATATACTTTATTATCTGAGAGACCAAGATCATTTTCTGAAGTTTGTGCATTTACAATTGGCTGAAATGAACACATAGCTTATGAGATTTCTCTCATTTTGACTAAATAGAGCAAATATTCAGAAGATAATGCTGAAAAGAAACTGTTTGAGGGGCTATTAGGAGTCAACTCTAAGAAATCAGACAGAATTAAATGGTTTAAAGATATTCTCAACTGTATTCCATAGGTCATGGATGGAAAAGATTGTGCTGGTGGATCAATAGTGGTAGCTAATGGCAACATGAGAAAAAAAAATGATACAATAATATATACAATTTCCCTTTTCCTAACAAATTAAAGCCAAATAAAAGCATTATCACTTGGATTTTGTATGTTCTCATTTGTTACAACACAGTTGACAGCTAGTGATTTACTGTGTTCAAGAAATTAAGAAGGAAAGGGATATAATTTTGAATTCAAAAACCATGAGGATATAAAATGGGTAACTCTTCACTGTTTATATAAGTCTGTTTCACGTAGATACAGATTTAAAGCATATATATAGGACATGGATGGTAGTGTTTTTTAGAATCTTAAAAATATTTTTCTCTATTGTAATGAGATTAATTTTGAGTACACCCATCAGAATGGTTAAAATAAAAAATTCAATGGATGGTGCATGGTGGAGAGATTGTGGAGAAAGGGGAACCCTCCTCCATTGCCGGCGGGAATGGAGTACATCCACTCCATTGTACACCACTTGGAAATCAATCTGGCACTTTCTTAGAAAAGTAAGAATAGTGCTATGTCAGGTTCCAGCCATACCACTCCTGGGCATATATCTGAAAGATGCTAAACAATACAACAATGACATTTGCTCAACTATGTTCATAGCTGCATTATTCATAATAGCCAGAATCGGAAAAAAAAAAAAACCCAGATGCCCCTCAACAGAATTATGGATACAGAAATTGTGGTACATTTACACTACGGAATACTACTCAGCAATTAAAAACAAGGAAATCATGACATTTGTAAGCAAATGGTGGGAACTAGAAAGGATCATCCTGAGTGAGGTAACCCAGGAGCTGGAAGACACATATAGTATATACTCACTTATAAGTGGATATTAACCGTATAATATAGGATGAACATACTAAACTCTAAAATCGATAGTCCTAAAGAAGCTAAACAACACAGAGGAGCCTAGCAAAGAGGCTGAAACCTTACTCAGAAGGGCAAACAGGATAGACATCGGAGGTAGAAGAAGACAAGGAGCAGGACAGGTGCTTTCCACAGGGGGCCTCAGAAAGACTGATGGGTATGGAAGGAGATACTGAGACTCATAACCAAACTTTGGGCAGAGTGCAGGAAATCTTGTGGAAGAAGAGGGAGATAGAAAGACCTGGAGGGGACAGGAACTGCACAAGGAGACCAACAGAGCCAAAAAACTGGGCCCGGGGTGGCAGGGGTGGGTGGCCATCAGAGACTCAGACTGATACTTTAACCAAGGACCGTGCATGGAGAGGACCTAGACCCTCTGCTCAGTTTCCAAGTGGATACCCTAGTAAGGGGATCAGGGGATGTCTCTGACTTGAGTTCAGTGGCTGGCTCTTTGATAAGCTCACCTTGAGAGGTTCAGCCTTGCCAGGTTACAGAGGAAGATGACCCAGCCAACCACCAGCCCTGACGAGATTTGATAGGCTGTGGTCAAATAGAAGGGGAGGAGGTCCTCCCCTATCAGTGGGATAGGGGTGAATAGTGGACTAGGAAAGCGGCATAAAGGGAGAAGAGGTAGGGTGGGTGGGGTTGGGAGGGGATTGAGGGGGCTACAGCCAGGATACAAACTGAATATATTACAGTACATACATACATACATACATACATACATACATACATACATAATTTTCTATACTAACTACTAAGTTACTGATAAGAAGTAATAGGATTTGATATTGTGTTTTTCCACAATGTAACAACTGAATTACACGTATACTTTTTATGCATGCACATAAAGTAAATATATGTAATAAAATGAGTAAAAATGAAATTAATTTATTGAATATCAGTGGTCATTTAAGTCAAATTTTTATAGGAATGTATTTTGATTTTATTAATACTGGTAGTTCAGGCAGAAGGCTTATTTTTTATCTGACATTTATTTTCCTCTCTTTAGGTTCCACTTTTATTTGTAACACTCATATAATTCCAGTGAAGAACCAAGAGGGTGTGGCTATGATGTTCATCATTAATTTTGAGTATGTAACAGATGAAGAGAATGCTGCCTCCCCAGAGAGGGTAAACCCAATATTACCAGTCAAAACTGTAAACAGTAAGTAAAAGGCCACATGTCCATAAAGTCCTGATCCTCTGCTTCAGCTGTAGTCACTTGCATGTCATTTGTCAAAAAAATTATTACATTTCACATCAGAAGTCCATGCCTGGTGTGACTTTTTAACCCTGTACAGAATTTATCATCTGCTTTGACAGTCATATGACTCAGGTGTACCGTGATGTACTTTGCCAATGCTTTTTGTTTTAAAGACAAGGTCATACTGTGTAACTCTGTATGGGCCCTGAATTCAGTATGTAGACCAGGTTGGCCTCAAAAATCACTGCCTCTGCCTCCAAAGTACTGAAACTAAAGGTGTGTTCCACCATGCTGGCTATTTTATCAGTACTTTACTAAAAACACTTAAGATGTTATCAAACCATGAACGCAATGGCGGGCTCTTTGACCCCCCCCACCCTCACCCCCAGGGAGAAGCAGCCTTGCTAGGCCACAGAGGAGGACTTTGCAGCCAGTCCTGAAGACACCTGATAAACCAATATCAGATGTAAGGGGAGGAGGTCCTCCCTTATCAGTGGACTTGGAAAGGGGCAGGGAGGAGATGAGGGTGGGAGGGTGGGATTGGGAGGGAAAGAGGGAGTGGGATACAGCAGGGATACAAAGTTAACAAACTCAAACTGTGACTAATATTAAAAATAAAAATTAAAAAAAGGGATGTTGTCAAACATTAGGTATTAGAAATAACACTTCATATCAGGTAAGTGAAGAATTTGTGTTGCATGATAAACTATTAGCTTACAAATTTTTAGAAAATTACCTCAGTTGACTTAAAATAATGGACCAATAAGCCTATAAAAGATGCTTAAAAAGAAATAATACTTCATATAGATAACTTTATATTAATAAAATAAGGTAGTTCACACTATTAGAGAATATGTGGTCACTTTGTTTAATACTTTTCCAACTCTATCTCCTGTATTTTAACTCATGATATATGAATTTTTTTCTTGTTTGTTGCTGCATTAAATTAAAATGTTAAACATTAAAACTTGTTTTGGTAGTATCGTTTCATACAGTTTGATATTCATTTTTGAGATTCTTTAAGAAGTTACACTTTCCTTTTATTTGATTACAGTTCTAGGGAGAACGAATATTTATTGTATAGAATTTGTTGTTTCTATAGTGTTAGCACATTTTCTGTTGATATATTCAATATTATTGTACTGGTGTTTGGTTGTTTCAATCTACATATTTTTTATTTGATAACTTTTTACTTTTCTAATTGTTGTCTTTATAAAATAGTTTATTACATGCGGTATGCCTACAATTATACATCTTATGAATTTATAGATTTGGTCCTGACCCTTAATTTCTCCTCATCCCAAAATGAATTTTGATTCCTCTCTTTCAGCAAGCATAGCTCAAATGTTTCTTCCGCCCTTCCCACCATACAATTTTAGTTAATAACGTATTTCTTTGTGCTTGTCATTGTGATCCTAAATGTCTTGTGAAGTCAGCTATCTGTCTTACTAGTTTGGATTATTTCATTAGACTCCTATATCTTGACAAGTCACTCAAATTTAATCTGTCTTATCTTTTTTTCCTCCCTGCCCACTGCTCTTTTTTGGTGTTATTTTCTAGTTTGTCAGTTATAGAAACTTTTTGTATTTCCCACTTTTGTTTTCTTCTCTAATTTCTAATAAAATATAATCAATATACACAGTCTTCCTCAACATAACTTATTAAATAAAACTTATTCTTGCAAAGTGTTTTCCGAAGTTTGTTTTATTTATTTTTAATTTACAGCTTTACACCCATAGCTCCTTCCCTCATCTTCTCCATGTCCCACCTGCCCTCCCTCTTTCCTCCATCCTCTTCCCCTAGTCCACAGAAAGGCTGAGCCCTCCTCTGCCATCTAACCCAAACCTATCAAGTCTCATCAGGACTGGCTGCATCCAAGGCCACCCCACCAGAGGGAAGTGATCGAAGAGCAGGCAGCAGAGTCCATGTTAAAGACAGCCCCTGAACCCTTACTAGGGAACCCACATGGAGACTGAGTTGCCTAATGGTTACTTCTGAGCAGGGGTTCTAGGTCCTCTCCACACATGGTCCTTGGTTGGTGCATCAGTCTCCACAAGCCCCACTAGATCCAGATTTGTTGGCTCTGTTGATGTTCTTTTGGAGTGCCTGTCCCTTCTAGCTTCTTTTATTTCCTGCCACCACCACCACACACAGCTCTCTTCCATAAGACTCCCTGAGCTCTGCCCAAAGTTTGGTTGTGAGTATCAGCATCTGCTTTGATACCCTGGTGGTTGGAATCTTTCAGAGGACATTTATGGTAGACTTGTGTTTTGTTCTCTCTCTTGAACAGCTTCAGTTGTCTCTTCTATTTGTCATATAATACAGGATAACCATACTATGGTCCACAGACTTAAAGAAGCTAGGAAACAAGGGAAGTAACAAGCAACCAGCTAAACAACAAACATCCACCCTAGGAAGGATGCTTAATTTTCATTCAGAAGGGCAAATAGCAGAGCAGCTTCTTATTTAACAAGGTAGTAATTTGAATGATAAATTAACCCCTTCCCCATAGCCTCAGACTATGGTAAATATTTAAGTTACCAATTGATAACTATTTGGGTAAGTTTAGCGGTATGACCATGCTGGAGTAATTATGTCTTGGGGGATAAGCTTTGAGAGTTTAAAGATTCAGGTTGTTTCTAGATCACTTTCTCTACTCTGTGCTTGTGGTTCAAAATTTGAGCTTGTTACTCCAGCTGCCATGCCTGTTTCTTCCCCACCGTGATGATCTGCTATCCATGTGGAAGCATGAGCCTGAATAAATCTTTCCTTCTATAAGTTGCCTTGGTCATGGATTTTTGTCATCACAATAGAAAAATGACAAATAAAACCACTATTCTTCTGAAGCCTCAATACTGGAAAGACAGCATTGGTAGATAGCATCAATTTGGGGATTACCTTGTGCTTGTATTGTCCTGTGGCTCCAACTGTCTATTCATTCTTTTCTTCCTTTAAGTGATGCTGAGAAGAAATCTATTGCCAATCTCCTTGACCATGTTAGTGGTTTGGGATCTGGGAACTTATATAACTAGTCATCTGGCCGTTTTCATCACACACTTCCTATTTCTTCTCCTCTGTGGACATTTCTGCAAGGGGGATCTTCAGAGTGTAGTTCCTCATGCTAAGACTTGTGCCTCCACTTTTCTCACATAGGTTCTGCAGGCTCTGTTCTCTATGTTGTCCTGCACTCCCCACAGCAAATTCTGCTGCTCTAGTACTAAGTGACCATTTCTAGGTGTACATGAAAACTGAAGACAGAACGTATCCCTGCAACAATGCTGTACCCATACTTTATGGGGACTTTGATTTGACCTCTTCCTTATTGATTTTTATGATTGGGAGATGATTCATATAAAAATTGGACTTTCTATATCTGGTATTTTCGAAGCTAGAAAACACCACAAAATGTTGATAATAGAGATTTGAAAATTCTATACTTTATGTGCATCAAATAACATGTATAAAATAAACAGTACGCTCCCAAAGCCTATGCTGACAGTCATGTCCAAACCTAGAAGGGGTATGTGTGTATAAGTAAAGGCCAGATGTTGAAACTGGTAACTTTTTCTGTGACTCTCTACCTTATTTTTGAGATCAGGTCTCCCACTGGACTTGGATCTTACTGATTCACACAGACTGGCTATTAGCAAAGTCCAAGGTTCTTCTGTCTACTTCCCTGGTACTGAGATTGCAGGCCTGTGCAACTGCAGCCAGCGTTGTATTTATTTATGCTTTACCATTTATGCGTATTATGTGAGCATGTTGCGGTGTGATCACGTGTGTTTTTCATATGAATATGGGTATGTGTAATGGGTGCACATGTATACATACATTCGGGGACCTAAATTTGGTATCATATTTTCTTCCCCAATCACTTTCCCTCTTATTTATTGAACTGGGGTCTCTTGGTGAACTTGGAGTTTTCCAGTTCTAGCTTGGCTAGCTAGCTGGCTTGCCTTAGTGACCTGTCTTTTCCTCTTGAGTGCTGAGACTACTGTGTGTCTGTCCTACATGCCTATTTCTTACATAGGCTTTGGGGATCAGATTTTAGGTCTTCAAGCTTACAAGGGAAGACTTTATTTACCAGGTGATTTCCCTAGCTTTTACACTAAGCTTTTTCACATGTGTTCTAGGAGTGAAACTCAGGTCCTCATTCATGTGTGTGCAGTTCACCGACTGAACCATTATCCCAAGTCTTTGTGCAACTTTTTAACACTGTAACTTGACACCGTTTTCTACAAAGTTCAAGCTTGACAAACACACAATGGATTTCTTTTAATTACACACACACACAGGCAGTGCTTTATGGTAGGTTATGCTTTTGTATGAGGTTTTATTCCTTATTTATACAGCTTCATGGTGCTTGTGGCCCATGAGTCACATCTTGTTCCTCCCTGTAAGTATGAACTTAAGTATAATATTAAATCAAACAATTAAACATTTTATAGTATCAGTTACTTCCTTTGCCAAGTCTAAAGAGCAGTATAAATTTAATTTTCTCTTAAAGCAAAGGAGGAACAAATATATTAATGTAATATAATGCCAATATCCTGAATTTTTACCCTGAAAAATATACATTTGAAAATATTACTTGCAAAATCCTTAATTGATTAGTTTTGTAAAATATGTGTTTTGAAACAAATAAACTACTATAAAAAATTCTGATTACAGGTATTGTGCCTTTGAGATGATATCTACTTTGATTTCATAGTATTTTCTACTTATCAAATTCAGTCACTACTGAATGGTCCATGACAGTGAACTTCACTGGTACCTGCCTCTATCTTTCATTAATATCTGTGAATATTTGTGAATATCTCTGAATATCCATAAAAATTTAGTTGCCTACAGAGAGAATGAATGCCTAATTTATTTTATTAACCATCTTCTCAAATACGTCATTTTGCAAATGGAATAGTTTCCACCTTGGCCTTTCATCTGAAGGGAAGTAAGAAATAGAG